TGTTACTTCCATGATAAATCCCATAATCACGAACATGTCTTTGAGTTCTGCGTGGCTACTGTAATAAATTGTGATTATGGGGTTGTTATTGCTGTTTTCATTACCACCACGTCAGAACCAAGCCATAACTGACACTCCAGAGGGTTTTTAAAGGCAGTAAATCACACAGAAGATTGCCCATCTTTCTCCCACAGAGCTGCTGGTGGACTCAAACTGCCTGCCTTTCGGTTGGCAGTGCAACTCCTTACCACTAAGCCACCAGAGAGAGTTTACTACCAGCTGTCAGGAGATCAGGAGATGTATAGCACTAGGAAAGTCTGCTGTCAGGGATCTCTCCAAAGTCTTGAAGAGCAACAATGTCAGTTTGAAGACTATGGAGGATCTGATTCAAGCCACAGTCTTTCCAATCCCTTGCTATGCATCTGAGAGCTGGCTAATAAATAAGGATACTAGGAGAAGGATCAATGCATTTGAATTGTGGTGTTGGAGAATAGTGTTGAATATCCCATGGACTGTCCAAACAAACTTTTGTCTTGGAGAAGATGCAGCCAGAGTGTTCTTTGGAGGGAAGATGGGAAAGCTTCATCTCACATATTCTGGACATGTTGTTAGGAGAGGCTCTTCCATTGAAAGGGACATCATGCTTGGAAAGGTGAAGGGTCAGAGGTGAGGAGGAAGACCTTCAACAAGATGGACTGATAGTATCTGTAGCAATGGACTCAAATGTGTGGCGGATGATAAAGATGGCACAGGATAGAACAGAGTACAGATCTATTAGAGGGTTCCCAGCAGACGCTGCATTCACTTCCTTAACAACATGTCTCCGGAAACTCGATGAACTTTGATAAATGTCAATAGATGCAGAGGGGCTTCAGGCCTTTTGTTCATAGGGTCGCTATGAGTCCTGATCGACTTGAAGGCAGTCAACAACAATCAGTTGTACTCAAGTCGACAGCACTTTAGCAGCAACAACAACGACAATGAATTCTCAAACTCAGTGGAGGAGTGGAGTTCTGAAGAAGGAACTGTTGGTGTCAGAATTGTTGATACGTTTGGAGTGTAGCATTGTTTGATTTCTACTTCCTACAAATCAGCCACTAGTTGATGCTGATTCTCCTCTCCTCCTGAAGTTATATGAGCTCAAATGCCCCACGCGCCCTTTTACACCACATGCAATCCCATTTAAGGAACTCCACCTAATTACTCAGTAGTGCCTTACAAAAGGCAAAGTGGAGTTCAACTTATTGACAAACTAGCAGGATCTTTACGCATACTCACTTTTTATGCACTAAAAAGAGACATCAATTGCATTTCTGGGCTTTGAAGAAAGTCATTCCATATGAAGAGAGCACATTAAAGCTTTTGGAAGAGAATATGAATCACACCTCTGCTATGGAACAATGCACAGAGGGACCCTCAAGCAGTACATGAAGCTGGAGCACAACATAGTTCACTTTTCAACCTTTATAGCTTAACTGGAAAACCTAATGCTTCTGACAAAATTGCCTGATATAAATGTTTTCACCTGCAAAAAAAGAATACTAATAGTAAAAGGAAGTCCCATTCTCATTCATTTCCACGGCATGGTCTGCGGTTGCTTTTATTGCATTTTTTTTCCGACAGAACTCCCTCTGCATAGATTAGTGGCTGGTTCAAGCATGGTGTGCTGGACACCCGAGAAGGTTAAAGGAAGGAGGTGAGATCTGGTGTTCTCCAGCCCCCTGACAGGATATTCAAATCCAGGTATCCTTTCCTGAAGGATACATGGTAAATCTAGGGAGTTTGGGGGCCTGCAGTGTTTATGTGTAAGCCTGGATTTAATTTTCTTTTTAAAATACTCTTATAACCTAGAAGTAGCATTGAGGACTCTCCTTCATGGGGTCATTATGAATCACCTGCAACTCGGCGGCACTTAACAACAAACAACAACCTAGAAGTAGCCATTTGACTTTCTAAGCACCTCCCTGAGCTCATGTGAAATAAGACTGCCAGGGGTTTCAAAAAGGGGACCAGGGTACTCACCAAGCAGCCTGCATCATCTCCAGAGAAGGGGAGGGTTGGTGAAATTAAAACCCCAGTGAAAGATTAAAGCATAAGGGAAGAATGCGATCATTCTCACTCTTGTTGCCAGGTCCCATTGCCTCAGTTCCAACTAATAGCAACACTATGTACAAGGGAACAAAACACTGCACTACCTTCACCACCTTTGCGGTGTTCGACCCCCCGATCACTGCCACTGTGTCCATCCTTCTCATTGAGGCTCTTCTCTTTTTTGCTGACCCCTCTCTTCCAGGGACTGGTAGCTCCAGAATGTGTGAAGTAAGTGTATGAGACCAAGTCTTATCATCCCTATTTCCAAGGAGCATTCTATTTATACTTATTCCAAGCAGATCTATTTGTTCTCTGCAAATTCAATATTCTTAGCCAAAAGTATAATTCAAAGACGATTCTTCTCTGGTCTTCCTTAAATAATGCCCGGCTTTCAAAAACATATGAAGCAACGGAAAATACGACGGTTTAGGACATCCACAATTTAGTCCTCAAAGTGAGACCTTTGATTTATTTCTCTCTCTCTCTCTCTCTCTCTCTCACACACACACACACACACACACACATATTTTTGGAGCAAATTTGCCCAATAAAATAAATAATTTGATTTCCTGACAGTTTCTTCTTTAGATGTTGATTATGGATCCAAGTAAAATGAATCTCTGGCTTCATTATTTGCTCCAGACTTTTCACAAGGGGACTAATCCATTTAAATAAGCATAGGTGGTCAGCTATTTTTCAATGCAACACATCCTCCAAATCTAGCAGTAAGACAAGCAAGAGATAGCAACTCCACGCCAACTTTGTCTCATCACGGACCTAGAGAAGAGCTTTGGTGATGCAGGGGCTAAGATCTTGGCTGCTAAATCAAAAGGCTGGGGCTTCAATTCCATCATCAGCTGCTCTGTGAGAAAAAGACGAGGCAGCCATGGCAACCTCGTGGCAGCAGTTCCACTCTGTCCTATACTTTCTCTGTGAGTCACAGTAAACTTAAGGCCAAGGGGTTCAGTTTTGAATTGGATGGGACTTAGGTCTCTGAAACACAAGTTTTCTCACTTGCAACAACTGCATTCAGTTCGTGTCTACCTGGCATGGAGTAACCTGGGCAAAACAGAGGGTATATTGAGCCCACTACCAACTGTCTGTACCTTATCATGCTGTGGTATCTTGAGCACCTACCTGCCACTTGTACTTAAAACACTACTAGCATCACCAGTGGGCACAGGTAACCACTGTCTTGGTTATATACTTCTGCGAGGCTCCTACCCAGGGGGGGTGGGGAGTTTTAAAAAAATGTCAAAACCCAACAAGGAGCCCAGGATAAAAACTATCTTGTCTCCCTCCTGCAAAAAAAAAAAAAAAAACAAAAAAAACAAAACAAAACAAAAAAACAGCAAATTATTACCTGATGTTTCCTCTGTGAAGAGGAAGACTGCTCAAAGTTCATAGTTAGAAATCCCCCACTATCATCTTCAAAGCTAGGCTAACTCTGGCCTATCGACTCAACTAAGGAGAAAGAGATGGTTGGTGGGGAAGAGGGAGGTGTTGGGAGAGAACGGAGGTGTTGAGGGGAGGAGGGAGGTGTTGGGGGAGAAGGGAGTTGTTGAGGGGAGGAGGGAGGTGTAGGGGGGAGGGAATTAGTTGGGAAGAGAAGGAAGGTGGTTGGGGGAAAATAGGAAGGTAAGAGGGGAGAGGAGGGAGGCTGGAGACAAGAGGGAGGGAGAGGAGGGAGGTGGGGCAGGAAGGAGGTGGCCTGGGGAAGAGGGAGGATGAGGAAGAGCTGGGGAGGAGAGGAGGGAGGTGGGGCAGGAAGGAGGTGGTTGGGAGAGGAGGGAGACTGAAGGGGGAGAAGGAAGGAGGCAGGGGAGGAGGAGGGAGGG